TTCTGAGCACATCCTTCTCTGTGTATGGTCCTAACTGGTGGACTTTTTACACTTTTTCAGATTTCTTACAAATACTAACTCTTCACCTGTTAGACGTATTTCAAGTGTTTTAAGCATTTGTTTCCATCTCAGCTACAAAAATATTTCTATGTAATTTCAAAGTCTACTTTTTCCTTCTCTTTCCTTTCCTTCTCTTTCCTAATTTCAAGGTATTCTTCCACGGTTTAGGTTATATATATAAATAAAATTTGACTAATATTTTAAGTATCTATTTACATTTAAGTTGTAGACAAATTGATTCAGTTATGTTTACCACATAAATGTGCATCCCCTCCACACTTAAGTCTCACTTCGTCATGATGGGAATGTCCTTGTATATTCACATACACATATATTTACATACATATGTGCGACAGGCTCTTATGTACCCCAAGTTGACCCTGACATCAGCTGGGGACGACCTTGAGTTTCTGATCTTGCTCCCACTTCCAGATCACAGGCATGTGGCACCATACATGCTCTAAGTGGTGCTGGGGAAAAGCCATAGCTTCGGCATGCTATGCAACTACTCTGCCTTTTACTCCTATTTCTTAGAAAATTTCATACCTATGTAATTGACATTAATGCAAATATTCAATTATTTCTTAGTAAACTATTTTTCTTACAGTGCTTTTGTGATTAAAGAAAAACATAAACTTGAAAAGTTATATTTCAATTATTATTTTATCTACTCATAATTCCCATTGCAAAACCACTAATCCTTGTAAATCACTAAAGAAGGAAAAAAAATTCTTACTCTAGTTCATGTCCATGCTGTTTCTTGTATTGATAAAACTTTAAGAGTGGAAAAATTGTTTTCTAAAAAACGATTCCATACATTAATGATCATAAACATTGAAAAATGTAATATAAAAAAACCAGTAAACTATAGCTAAAACCAAAATAAGGGAATTATACTGCTATCTCTCAGGTCCTACTAATAAGCAAGTTTGGAGTCTGTGGGAGCCAGATATGGTGGCACTTGAGCCTGAAGTCCAGCTACTTGGGAGGCTGAAGCAGACTGACCAGCCTTAGTCTGGAGGTACAGCATGGCCAATTTCAAAAAACACACCCAGAAAAGTTCTTTTGGCTCTGTTTTTTTAATGATAGACTCATTTCAAATTTTAGCCCATTCACTGTAACAGAAAACAGTTTTGTTTTGCTTTGTTTTTGTCACTCTTATAGGACACTGTATGCTTCTCCTAGAAGTTCAGAGTATATGACTAAAGTATGTCAGTACAATTAGTAAGAACTTCTGTTGGTGGGGTAGCATATTCCTGTCATTCCAGCACTTAGGAGATGGGATGACCACGATGAAGGCTAGCCTTGGCTTCTGTTCAAAAAAAAAAAAAAGCTTAAAACGTGTACTAAACACTATACACTCATGATCTACTTCAATAATACCTATGGGCTATATTTAAACAGAAAGAAACTTCATTTTAAGTGCCCAAGGTCAGACAGCTAATGACAGGGATGGCTAAAACCTAATCCCAGGCCTGTGTGATTGGGAAATCTATTCAGGTAAAGTTTGAATATACCAATTTACACTCACTGCCATCTAGCTTTAAAACTACTCTCAAATAGATTATTTAAGGTTGTCTCATCCAATTCACAATACCCTTGGGAGGAAAGTTTCTCAGTATGGAGCCCTGAAGCTTCCAGCATCAGCTGCACTTAAAAAGGCATATGACCAAGATGGAGAAGCTGGATGAAGATCCTCTAACTTTAGGGATGAACCACTGGCCTTATCATGATCAGTAAACACAACACACTGTGGAAACAAGTTGGTCACTGTATGAATAAAGTCCATAAAAGGTTTATGTCTATTCTATTTAGTATTTGGAAACTTGAACTAAAAAGTTAACACTTAGTACACAACCCTTTAAGGAACTATAATTTGCAAGAATTAAAGTGGTTTAACTTCCTTGTTAATCATTCAACGCTTATTTAATAAGCAACCCATCAGGGACCTCAGTATTTTGTTTTCTTGAACAGGGCCTCTTCCATCCACTTCAGTATCTCTGTGCAGAAGACACAATAGAGACAGATGGTTCTTTAACTGCAGGGAGGTTTACTGAGGAATACCCCAGCTACCAAAAATAGCCTATATATAAAAATAAAGAAATACAAAATATTGGGTAGTAGCCTAAAGGACTGATTGGCTACCTTGGCCCAAAGGGAAAGGATATATTTTTTACTGATGATGATACTCTGTAAAGACAGTGCAACTAAAGGAGACCTCAGAGTAAGAAATGAAAAGTGTTGGGGCCCCAACCCTTAAATTCTCTTTTCCCCCTCCATCCCTGCCTGTCTCTCTCCACCCCCATATACCCTCTCCCCTATGAAACAAGGTCTTACTGTGTAGCCTCGGCTGGCCTAGTACCCACTTTGTAGACCAGGCTGGCTTTCAACTAAAAGAACTCTGCCAGACCCAGAGCAGAGATTAAAGGAGTAAACCATCATACCTAAGACTCACACAGAAATCTCATTAACTGACATAGTATCAGAAATGTCTTCTAGTGCTCAAACCATCTGTGTGTATATAACATCAAAATCTTCTTTAATACTTAATCTCCATAGCTGTTTGATCACTAATTCCTGCTACTAATCTTCCAGATTTCATTGGGAGTCTGAGTTCCCTAAAATTAACTGTGAAGTAAAACTGCAGACTCATCCAGCCCCTTTCTTATGAACTTTTCATCTACTAGTATTCAGTGCTTTCAAAATGGTTTCCTCTAGCCCAGTTTGCTACACCTGCACAGAACTGGTCTGGACTTTTAAAACACTTAAGAATTCTGTTTATTTGGTGGAATGTCACATGGGCATGAAAGCAGCGCCAATTTTTTTTTCCCTCTCCTCAAGAGACTAGGGAACTTCACTTTGGAGAAAAATGATGGATAAAATTATATTTCAGGCTGAGGAGATGACTCAGTCATGAACGTGCATGTTTTGCAAGTATGAAAATCTGAGTTTAGCTACCCAGGTGCTATGTAAAAGCCATGTGTGGTACTGTCCCTTTAACCTCGGTGCTCAGGGCAAAAGACAGAAGGATCTCTGGGGCTTAATGGCCAGCTAGGCTCCCTGAATCAGTGAGTCCAGGTTCAGCCAGAGAACCTGCCTCAAAAAAGGGGGGGTGAGGTGGGGAGAGCAACTGAGGAAAGCACGTCTGACCTCTGCATACAGGAACACAGACACAAACAAAAATGTCAACAAGTGCAATGGTTCAACCAACTGTGGTGCCATTCATACCACAGAATAGTGGTTAGAAATGAAAAGGAAAGAACTATTTAAGAATCTGTATTTATGCTTGTTATATAAACATATCAATTCCTATTGTCTAGTCTGGATCACAAGCACAAAATGGTAATTCGGGCAATGCGAAATCATTTAGGCAACATTTTAGTAAGTATCAAAATATGCCCATCTTTCTATCTTGTTAAATTGTTACCAGTTTAAGGTTTTAGCTTTTAGCTCTCCTTAATAAGAAAATGTAGAAGGGAGAAAAAAAAAGCACCAATCACTGTAAGACAATCATTCCATCTTTTCCTATTTTTTCTTTGCTTTCTAGTATAAGGACTGGACCCAGCGCCTCAAGCATGCATGGAGGCAAGAATCTTATCCCCAAGCCCTCAGCGGATTTTTAAAAACAGATTCCTCAATTACATTGCATAGAACTAAGATTTAACTAAAAATCTTATTTCACATAAGAAAATGTATCATTTGGGTTATAAAAGTCAAATCTGTGGTTTTGTAAGGCCTTCGGATTCAAAACAAGGAACTTTCTAAGTTTACAGTACAAATAAAAGAGTTTAGCCCCAAACTGAAGAACATTCCTTTCAAGTGCATTGTTTGAGGTTTAAACATTGGCTACTACAGTGCACAGAAAATGGAGTACAAAGGGTTGGGCAACCCTAGGCAAAACCATTTCTGTATTTTCACAAAATATTATGCACTCAAGTCTGAGAAGGGTCACTTGAATTTCTTTTAACAAATGCAAAAGCGAATTAAGAACACAAGCATAGCTTCAGAAATTTAAACTGACTGGGAAGGGCAATTATGCAGTATTTAAAAGAAATGTCAAAAAGGAATGACCCACAGGCAGAAAACATGAAGTCAGTAATGTCTAGACTTGATCTTCTTGCCTTTAAATTATAGGTAAATGGATTTGGATTAATTATTGTTTTCAGCTTGATCAGCTTCCGAAGAATTACTTCCCCTTCGGGAAAACCTCGTCACTTTCCCATAAGCTAGTCTGGATCTCCATCCCAACAAGGCAACACCATCTTTCATCGCCTTCCCATTCAACTGAGCCTGTCGCATTACCAACACCCTGTTCTGAGGAGAGTACAACCACCTTCTCTCTCAAGAAAAATGTATAAGGCCCGTTCTTACTCTTCCAGTCTCATCCGAACACTCACTGAACCTCTCCTGCAAGGATGTCCGACAAAAACCTTAGAATCACTGAGAATGCACATTTGTGGGGAAGCCCTTCAGTGTGACTCTGCAGTGAGGGCCATATCAGTGACATTCCCTCCCAAGCCTGTCTTACTGGAGACGCCTCTGCCTCCAGGGGTTTCCCTATCATCCTGATCACCTGAGCCAAGGCCTTTGCCAAGGAAGGAGCTTTGGGGAATGGGACCCGTCAGCAGTTGCAGACCCCCCAAGAAATGGCTAAAATAATCCTACCACCTACCACCTGAATCAGCCCCAAAGGCTCTAAATAGGGAACCATAATGGCCGCACTCGCTCTCAACCCAGGGAAAGGTGGGCATCACAATCCCTCGTCAATGGACGACGGTGACGGTGAAGGGCTAGGGGTCCAGGAGATCTAGAGAAATGAGCTCCTCTCCCGTGCAGGAGGACAACGGGAAAGGAGCCACAAGCACCGCAGGCCGTGGTTCACACACCCCAGTGCCTATCTGCTCTCAGCCCGTCAATAGTCCCCACCAGCCACCACTTACCTGTCGCACCTCACCTGCCCGGGCACGATATGCAGAATCAGTACCTAGACGGGACCCAGAGGCTCTGTCACTGAGAGAGGGGAAGTCTTCAGCTGCAGGAGGCGGGTCAGCCCTAGCTAGTCATGTGACCCCAAGCTCCACCCCGCTTCCCCTCCCCAGGCACGCTGCGTCTCGCTTGCTTGAATCTTTGCGGATCGCTTGGATGGCAATGGTTCCGCGGTTTAGGAAAAAGCGTTACTTTCTTTTACTCAATGACTGGGTTATATAAACTACAGTACAGAAAAGGAGGATGGCAAGGGTTAAAGTGCATTGCTAAGGAAGTGACGCTAAGTCACGCTGTAGGGACCGGAAATGGCGATGAGTCCCGCCTCTCAGGCCCCAGTAAAATCCTGGCTGGAAATCGTAAGCCTATCACGTGATTTCAAAAAAAAAACCCCTGTGATGTTTGCCTGCTGGACGATAGCCAAGTTATCCGGTTCCATCGTTATCTTTTGAATTTAAAACACATTTACTGCAAGCTTCCACAGGCTTTCTTACATTGAGAAGAATCCGTTTTATAAAACCCTACTAGGTGGCAAGAGGGTTTGAAGGTCACTGGAGATCTAGAAAGAGAGGAGGCGGGAAAGGCTGATGTTGCTAGTTTCAGAGGGAAGGGTGGAAATATCCGGATTTTGCCGCCGGAGCCTACCAAGCAAGCTCCACTGGAGTGTCGCAAAGGGTGGGAGGAGCTAGCAGGCCGCAGGCCCAGCCCTGGAGAAAGGGGGAGAAGTCTTGGCGGCGCCGAGCACTGCGATTGCGCGCGACGCGGCGGCCGCGCAGGCGCGCTGAGGGGGCGGGGTGAAAGGTCACAGCGCGGCGGCGGGTCTGGCTGGCGGCAGCTGCGGGCGGGAGCGGAGTGTCCCGAGTGCACGTGTGGAGGAGCGGCGGCAGCAGCGCGGCGGCGGCACATTTCCCCGCGTCTTCCGGAGCCTCAGGGCCTTGGCTTTGGCTTTCGCGGCCTCCTCGGCTCCTCAGCCAAGAGGCCGGTGTGTGGGGTAGAGTGGCCTGAGCTCAGGGCGCGGAGAGCTACGGGCGACGAGGACGACGGCGTTGGTGGCGGCTGTAACGACGGCCTCAGCAGACGGGGAAGATGAAAGGGTGAGGAAGGGCAGCTGGCGGGGGCCGGGCGGGCACAGGAGAGGGGCGTGGGTCGGTGGATAGGGAGAGCGCTGCGAGGAAGAGACTCGCGTGAAGACCGGGCGGAGGGACATTGCCAGGCTTCCCCGGTCCCTCGGCTCCCGGAGGGGGGCGGAGGCTAGGCCGGCTGTTGGCGGGCTGGAGGGCCGGCGGAGGCAAGGGCGCGAGTCCACGATTTCAGCCAGAAGGACGTGTGTGCACCGAATGAGACCGCGGGGAGAAGGTATTATGAGGCGCCCGGGGCCTCTTCCCGAGAGCGCACGACTGAGCCACCTCAGGTGCTCATCCAAATCCGGGATCCATGCTGTGGCCGCGGGCTTTGACACGTTGCGGTTTTTCTTCCTACTTGTGGGCCGTGCAGAACCTTCTGGAGGGAAAAGGAATTGGAATAAAGAGCACGGGGGATGAGTGTTAGGAGCTAGTGACTCAACGGACTTGGGTTGGGTCAGAGCGAGTGGAGGAGGGAGGGAGGGGGAATGAACTCGAGCGGTGTAGACTTTGGGGTGCCAAAATGTTTAAGGAAGTATCATGGATCAGTAGGTGGAGCTATTGCTTCAGTGGTGTGTGTTGCCCCCCAGTGCAAGGAGGAGCTCCTTTTTTACTCTTCGTTAGCAAAGTTGAGGTTTTAATCTTTCGAATCTTCCGTAACATTAGAAGTTATTTTGGTTAACTGTTCCCGTTTGGTAAAAAGTTATTTCCTTTCCATTGATTTATATACTGTTAGAGTATTTAGCACCTCGAATTTTGGAGGTTGCCTTTACAATCTTTAGGAAAAAAAAAGCTTAATCATATTAAACTTTCTGAAACAACGTAAGGGTTTTTCTTCCTAAGTCAGCTGAAGATTATAACTACTGTTTCAGTTAGTTGTTTGTTCAGCATTGTTTTTTTTGGAGAGCAAAATAAATCGTTTCTCCAAACGAGCTAGTTCTGTGTAAAATGAAGGTCTCATCTCTGAAATGATTCTGAGAAAGTTTTGATTTTAAGTCTACATATAAAACATTTTTTCTAAATTCTGGTTTGCTTTAAATGCTTTTTTTTTTTTTTTTTTGCTTGTTTCAGGATGTTTGCTTCACCTGAGCCACGATCCAGGCAGCTTGGTGATTTTTAAAAATATGATCCAGTTATCTTTAGGAAGTTTTATTTTTTTAGTAGTGTATGACTCTCATACTGTCTCTCATTTTTTTCTACTCATTGCTACAGACACAGAACGTACTTGTCGTGTTCTGTTATAGTAAAAGCAATGAAGATAACAAGACAAATTATTCTGGATGTTTAGGTTTAAAAAATCTTGGGTCTAGTTCCGTTTCTTTAGGTGTAGGTTGTAATCTTTCTCATACTTGACATTAGAAACGGAGCCACACAACGGTGGTGTTGGCAGTCTTTTGGAACTTTTATCGAGTATACTCTTGAAGCTATTCTACCTTGTTAACTAACTGGAGTTCTTGGAATTGAAGGAAAGTATCAGTGCCCTGCAAGTACTCTGCCACTGAGCTATGTCCCTAGCACTTTATTTTGAGTTAGAGTCTCACCAAGTTGTTAGGCTGACGCTGAAATTGGCAACAATCTTCTTGCCTCCCTCAGCCTTTTGAGTTGCTGGTATTACCGGCTTGAGCCACCAGTACCAGCTGGTTTTTTTCATTTAAGTAGATATTTAAGTGTAACATGATGGCGGCAGATGCTTAGAAATGTGTTACTGGGCAAATTTGGAGAAAACTTGGAATTGTTGAATCCATAGGCCAGTAATTATGCTCAAAATTAAGACTCCTTAAGTAAAGTTTCTACTTCTTAGGATTTGAGGGCTTAGAATTGGTTTCTGGACTAAACAAATTTCAAGATAATTTCACAGGTATATTTCTTTGATTTTTTTTTTCCCCCTAACTCACTTGCAATAAACATGGAACTTTAAATTTTCCTTTCCTTCCTTTTAAGATACTAAAGAAACGAAATCAGGGTATAGTGCATTTTTGTTTTATTAAGATGTTGGTGTCCTTGAGATACAGAACTTGTATAGCTATGCTCTATGTGTTCAGTCTCCTGACTCTTTATTAGAAAGACTCTATTTCATGGATTTTGTTTAAAGTTTTATTTGCTAAGTTTCTATTGTACACTGAGCTTACCAAACACAGTTAAATAGATGAATCTGAAGTTTTGAAAATTGAAACCCCCCACACACCAATTTAACCTATGACTTTTGGGCATTGAAAGTTTTTAAGCTTTTTAAAATACTTTTATTTCATAATTTTTACTTTAGTATTCTTATTTGTAATAGCAATAGGATATCCCACTGTAAATCATATTTTCCTTATCTCCATAGTAGATAAATTTGCAATTAATAACTACTATATTTTTATGTACATATATAGAAAAATGAGAAGCACATTGACTATTTGCTCTTTCAACTGAGGCTTCTTGTTTTTATGAACCAAGGACATTATGACTTGAATTTGTGGTTGGTAAGCTGATTGCTTTTTATCTGTTATTCCTCTCTAGGGAAGATGATATTCAGTATGCCATACACATCAATGACTGGCAGTATAATTAGTTGTTGGTGTTATAGAAAAAAACCCTAAATCCACTTATCCTTCAATTATAATAAAGAGGTGCAAATTAGTTCTAATAAAAATGTCTTTAAGATATGAATGCTAAGTGGACCAAAGTAAAGATGAAAAGGTAGATAGGAGTAATATATAGAGCAAAATGGTTACCAATTGAAACTTGGCCAAATGGGGAATATAAGATTCTATAGTTATAAATGAAGCTTTGTTGACAAATACAGAATAGTCATTCTACCATTATTATATATACTGGGAGCGGGCCCAGGAAGTCTTCTGTGTCTTTATCTAGGTGTTAATTACCAAAAAAAAAAATAGAAAACAGCATTTGTATTTGTGTCTCTCTCTTCTCAATCAGGCTGGGGGCCCTAACCTTCAGATCCATCTATCTCCTTTGCCCAAATAGCTGTTCGCTACTGAGCCTGGACACAAAGTGTATCTTGTATACCAATAAAACTCTTTGTAGAACCTGACTAGCAACTGGTCATATTTTGCTTTTTGTGTAAACCAGAAATTTGTGGTCTGTTGATTGAGATTCTGAATTTTAACAAATATTTTGTGATGCCTCCTTTGCTGTGTTGAGAATTTTGAAATATCCGAAGTACAATCATGATTTTTAAAAGTGTATCTTCTACTTGAAGAGGTATCCACATTGGTGAGTGGCAGGGTGTTACTATAGTGACTTCTTCCTTCTCAAAATGGTGGACAACTTTTAATAAAGCTGTAGCCAATGAGTCAATCAATACATAATTGAATAGGGGTTTCTGTAAGTTTTGAGATTAAATTCAGTTGGTAATAATGCTTGCCTAGCAAGCATGAAACCCCAACACTGAATAACTGGATATGGTGGTGCACATTGTTTTTCCAGCACTGGACAGACAGAGGCCAGATTATCAAGTTTAATGCCAGCTTGGGATACATGGGGCACTGTTTGAGAAAAAAAATTTTTTTTCCTATGTGTAAAAATTATCCAGGAGGTTAAGTGCTTTTATGTTTTTCCTGTTTTATCATAATAATTTGCATAGTTCTTATTACAGTTTGTAGCCAAATTTTGGATTATTGCATCCTAACTTCAGTCAGTTAAAATCCTATTTTATAAAGCATTGTTTTCCAAAGTCAGTGCCTTTGCCATAACAAACTAATTATTACCTGTCTTAAATTTTACTTTGCTGCTTTATCCTGTAGAAATCTTGATTTTTGTCCTCCAGGTGTTAACTATAGCTTTCAACTTCATGGGTTTTGAGGAGGCATCTCTTCAGTTACTCAAATAATTTTTCTTTATCTTTTTTTTTTTTTATTTTTCGAGACAGGGTTTCTCTGTGTAGACCAGGCTGGCCTCTAACTCAGAAATCC